GAAGAAGGAAGAAGGAAGAAGGAAGAAGGAAGAAGGAAGAAGGAAGAAGGAAGAAGGAAGAAGGAAGAAGGAAGAAGGAAGAAGGAAGAAGGAAGAAGGAGGAAGGAAGAAGGAAGAAGGAAGAAGGAAAAGGCAAGGAAGGAAGGGGAAGAAGGACAGGAAGGGGATTTTCCTCCATAGGGAGAGGGAAGGAGGTTCCCCCCCAAAGCCGTCTCTGGAAGGACAGCATTGGCAGCAGGGTTGTCCTGCAGCTGGGGGCAATGCTGGACTGGGAGATGGAGCAGGTGAGAGGGGGGAAAGGTGCAGTAACTTCCTCCTCACCCGCATGGGGGTCCCAGAGCCTCTTCCTCACAGCCTCCTTCTCCATCCAGCCAAGGCTTAGGAATAACAAGTCTTGTTTTGGGGGGAAAACATGTTGTGAGCATGTTGGGTTGGGGGTTCCTCCTGCCCAAGTCCATCTCTAGAAGTGAAACCTAAGTAGTATGTAACAAAAGGTTAACCACAAGTAATATTATATCAAGATGTGCAGGTAAAACAAGCAAGATAACAAAGAAAGTGAGATAATATGCACAAGCAAAAGCAAGCAGATAGCAATTTTTAAGGGAACTCATAAACTGTGAAATTAGCTAAAAACAAGTTAGACTGAAAAACAAGAAGCACTGAGCACGCATTAAAGACAGGGGAAAAGAGTTCAAAGGTGAGGAAGACTATAGAAGCCTTCATGAAAAAAACACCAGAAGAGTGATGACCACCACAGAAGGAATTGACACATGTACAAAAGCAACAAACAGTTGTAAAACCACGACACAACTTTATGCGAATATGAGTATCCTAATGGCACGTTGTAAGTGTGACATTGTGTAGAAAGTCTTTTAAAATGTAACTGAAGGCTGAAGAAAATTGAGTGACATTTGTGGCAGGGTGACTGCGTCACTCCCAGCACTGAGTAAACAAATACCTGCTCTGCAGCCAAGTCGACTATAGAGCTGTATTTTCTTGCCTAGTTTTGGGCATCAGAAGTCACCAGACATCTTGTGTCCATGAAAACCACCAAAATTCCACTGGAAAAAATCTCACTCGCAACACCACAACACAGCGCCCAAAATCCCAAACCATCAAGATTCAGCTACAAAAACCTCCAAAATATGGAGATTTGACCTGTCAGGAAAATCCACAAATGCCAGAGGTTTATGTCCAAAAAGGAGGCGAAGGAGTCTTTTAACTCTATTCAAATGAAGGGAAAGAATCCCCCAGGGCACACACCAGTGGGCTTTTCTCTCTCAGGGCTTTGGAGGGTGCAGCCTCCTTTTATCCTAAACTCCTGGCTGCATGTTGTCCTCTTCCTTTCCCTATTGCTGAGGTACTGGGAAGTCACAGCCTTCCTGACCCACCCACCCCATATCCCTCCTTGAACCTGGCATTTTACCCCGAAGTTCAGCCTCATGCAGAACCTTGTCTCTTTCAGGAGCCAAGCTGGCTGGGCCCGGTAACTGCACTGCTGCTCAAAGTCAGTAGAGACATTAAGACTTATTTCAAAGACATTAACATTCACACCTTCACCCAGGAAATTATTTGTAAGCAGTGGATATCCAAAGCTCTGGCCTTACAATTGTTAAAACAACATCATGAAGAGAGTCATTGGGTCTCCCGAGGACTGGCCCTTCCTCAAAATGAACACTGCTGTGGGTCTTTTTTTATTCTGGCAAAGCGCGCTATTGGGGGTTGTTTGATTTGTGCTAAAACCAATAACAGAGTTACAAAGAAACTGGCCAGGGGAGGGAGGCGTTGGGCAGTACGTCCCTTCCAGAGATGCCGGGTGAATTTTACTGAAATGCCTCGAGTGGCAAGATTTAAATATCTTCTGGTAATAGTATGTCAATTAACCGGGTGGCCAGAAGCATTTCCAGCTGTTTCAGCAAATACAGGTTCAGTTGTTAAAGTATTTACAGAACAAGTAATTCCAAGATCTGGGATTGTCCTAGGGTGATGTTATGGTGTTTGTATCTCCAATCGTGTGTTCTGATTATGTTTGGTATTATGTCCTGTGCTTCCAGGACTGACTCTGAAAGTGAAGCTTTGTTTTGTCTTGTTATCAGGCGGCTCACCTCCCCCATGGTCTATGTTTAGGAGAGGTTTTAGCTCAGCTTGCTTGCTTGCCTGCTTGCTCGCTTCTGCCTCTTTTTCTTTCCTTGGCTTTGCCCTTGCTTTTGCTTATTAGTTAGTTCAGCTAGGCAGTCCAATTTTTTCCCTGGACTGTTTTGTTTTCCACCCCGTCCCCTCCCTCTCCTGGATAGCATCTGAACCTGTTCTGGACGGGGACCTGGGAAACCCCAAGAAACACCGGGAGTCTGCATTCTGTCACCTGCAGCAGTCATTCCCCAGCGCCGGAGACTGATAACTGGGCGACCACTCGCCAGAGAGACTGAGTTTGTCATCCCTTCAGAACGGTGAAAGAGTTTTTTTGTCAGCTGGTGTTGTTTTTTTCCCTGTGCTGGGGAGTGTTTTCTTGTTAAATAAACAGGGGGTTTTTCCCACTCTTCTCTGAGGAACTTCTTCCCGAACCCGGTCGGGGGTGGGGGGGGAGGGGGGCGAGTCGTGGGGTTTGCTGTCTGGGGGCTCCTTCTGGAGGTTTTCCCCCAAATTTGCCCTAAACCAGGACAGGAAGCAATAGACTCAGATAGGGGAACTCATTTTACAGGAAAAATTCTTCAAGGAGTTATGACTGCTTTAGGGATACAGTGGAACCTCCATACCCCCTGGCACCCACAGAGCTCCGGTCAGGTTGAGAGGATGAATGGAGAAATAAAGAAACACCTTCTTAAGCTGGTGACAGGAACTAAGATGCCGTGGGTACGGCTCCTGCCCCTGGCTTTGGCAAAAATAAGAGCCAGACCCAGGGGAGATACTCAATTTTCCCCCTTTGAATTGATGTTTGGAATTCCTTATCCTTGTAATTCTCAGCCTAGTGGGGGGATAAAGATAAGTAATGTGTATTTGAAACAATATGTGGCTTGGATACTGTCTCTTGTGAAATCTCTTCAACAGGAAGCTCAGCTGGCACAGACCCTGCCTTTGGACTTTGCTGTTCACAACATCCAACCGGGAGACTGGGTCCTGGTTAAGGAGTGGGAAGAAGCACCACTGGTGGCGAAGTGGCGTGGACCTTTCCAGGTGTTACTGACCACAGAAACAGCCGTCAAGACAGCTGAACACAGCTGGACCCATCACACTCGGGTCAAGGACTCTGCAGCCCCAGAGATTTGGACATCTCAGCTGGAGGAGAAGGACGGGAAGCCACGACTGACACTCGGCAGGAGGGGACTGGAGCAGCAGCCAGGGCGTCGACATCGGGGGAAGCCTCGTGTGCCCACCCACAGAGTGCCTGCTGAAATAGTCTGTGTGGGCATCCCTCCTCTCAGATCTCCAGGCACTGGGGGCCAACCCTTGCTGTCATTGTTTTCTTTATGTTAAGCTGTTTCTGTGCCTTCACTCACCACAGGTGGTGTGGAAGACAACATGAAAGTGAAAATTAGGTTAGGAGATTAGATGACACCATTAGGAAGTTTCTTTTAATAATCTTACCTTTATATTGTCAGTTAGGTTGGGGCCAAAAATGGGAAAATATTTTTTTAACCTTAGGAGAAGAAGAAGCAAAAACCTTTAACCTTAGCAATTGTTGGGTCTGTGGAGGGCCAGGGGGATCTGAAAACTGGCCATGGCTGGCCAGCCTAGTAGAACCTAAATGGTGGATTAGCACCCTGAGTGGGGTCCATAATGGAACAGGATTTTGGGATGAAGAAGAAAGCCCATGGCGGCTTCATTCTTAGGAAAGAGGCACTTATAGTCTAAATAGAGCAGGAGGCATACACATGGGAAAAAGTGTTTGTGAGTGGACTTTATCTTTGGGTTTAGATGGTTGAACACCCAACTGCCTTCCTTATGACTGTTCCAGAGACCAAAGCAGATAGAATCAAATGCATGTTAAGCTCACAAATGGTAGCTGGGTAAAGTGCTCCTACCATAATTACCAGAAAGATTTAGAAGGCTGTAAAGCAGTGGGGAAGGATAAGTGGTTTTGACTCCTTATTTTTAAGCTGCCCTCGAGATAATTCCGCAATAGGACACGTGTTGTCTGTGACTACCAGTGGGAGTGGCAACACCAGAATATAACTCGAACCCTTTTCAATAGGTTCTGGTCCAAATCTAACAAAACAGATCTGGGATGTAACTGCAGGTGGGAACCTCATGTGGGAGCTTGGAAATGCAACTACTGTGATTCTTATGGTGGGGCAGCCGTTGTTGGGGGACCACTGGGCCCAGGAAGCAAGTTGTATTTTGACCCATCACTTGATGATGAAAATTGGGAAGGTCCCTTTGCCAACGGAACCTGGGCTTTAAAAGGGCATTACTGGATTTGTGGCCAATATGCCTATCACAGGTTACCCCCAAACTGGTCAGGGATATGGTATGTGGGGTATATTAGACCATCGTTCTTTCTGCTACCACAAGTTCAGAGAAAACAGTTAAGAATCAAGCAATATGAAGATCTAATTAGCGAAAAGCGGTCTATTGATGCAGCCCTGGCTGGAGGGAGCACCGAAAAGTGGAGTCAAGATGAATGGCCACCTGAACCAATCATACAACACCATGGACCAGCCACTTGGAATCCTAATGAATTAATATCAGGTGCCAGAGAACCCATTTATAATTTAAATTGGATAAGTAGCTTACAAGCTGTCTTTGACATAATAAGTAACCAGACAGCTACAGCTCTTGACCGTCTTGCTGACCAGTCTACTCAGATGAGAACTGCAATATTTCAACACCAGATGATATTAGACTATTTATTAGCAGAAGAAGGGGGACTGTGTGGCAAATTTAATGACTCAAACTGCTGTTTGCAACTAGATGATAATGGAAAGGTGGTGAAACAAATAGCAAAAGGAATAAGAAAATTAGCTCATGTGCCAGTCCAAACATGGAAAGGATGGGAATGGGAGATGTTTTCTTGGCTACCTGGTGGACTATGGGTTAAACAACTGCTTTTTTTCCTCTTATGTGCTGTAGCAACTCTAATCTTTTTACCATGCATAATCCCTTGCTTAGTACAACTCATTCAACATGTGATCAAAAGGATGCAGGTAATAGTCACGCCTACTGATCCAGAGATGGTTACAAAAGGACAAAAATTGATGTCACTCCAAATAATTACAAAACCAAAAAAGAATCAGGAACAAGAAATTGAGTCAATGATAGCTAAAGTTTGTAAAGACAATTATTAAAAAAATAAAAGAGGAGGGATTGAGAGGAATGTTGAATTTGTCTTTACAAATGAGTTGTGGATCTGCTTGTAGATAAGGCTAGCACTGAGAGATAAAAGAAACAATGGGATGGATTCCACTGATTGAGGAATGGAAAAAGATATTTGCCTTTACAAACAAACTGTAGGGCTGCTGATAAATGAAATTGGATATCGAAAGATGAAAGAAGCAACGGGGGGGAAACTATGAATTCTATAAGAATTAAAAATTAAAAGGTAGGGTTATACATTAGAGGGGAATTTCAGGTATCAGGCGTTCCGGGAAGTCTGTGCCTCTCAAGTACCTCAGCCAACGGGGAAAGAGAGAGGGAAATGCGGCCCGGAAAATAGGATAAAAAGGAGGCTGCGTCCTCCAAAAATTGGAGAGATCCCAGGCGAATGTCCCATGGCCTCTCCCTTTATTCGAATAAAGGAAAAAGGACTCCTCTGTCTTCTTTTTGGACATAAACCTCTGGTGTTTGTGGATTAATTTTCCTGACAGAATGAAACATTAGAAATGGGTTGTTCAGGGTGTCAGGATCTGCTATGGTAATTTGAATTTTATACCAAAGGGGGGAACAATTGTTCAAATGTTCTTT